GTTATTGCTAACTAGCTGGCTTTTAAAACTAAGGATAAAAGAACCCCGATGAGCGACTACTTGATTGACAAAAGTTGCGTTCTGATAAGGTGACATGTTTTCCAACGCGATGATCGACTAAATGCTTCGCCAATGAAGTGATAATGATGAAACATTCATGTTATTCTGAATGTCGCCCAGTATACCTGCATAACAAAACCTCAAAAGAGTGACAACTTAATCGACAAAAGTCGCACTTTGACATGACGACGTGTATGATTGACATTAAATGTACCACCAATTGAGAAATTTTGAAGGAAAAAAATCATGAACATGTTTGGCAAGCATGTGAAGGAGTCTCCCCAATTAAGGGTAGCAATTGTTTATCATTTAGAATAATGTATTTTGGCACTTACGTTAAAATATTAGTTTAGGGGGCACTAATATAATATTAAATAACATGTTTGTTGGACGGGTCCCATCCGGATCCAATATGACCACCCGTTTCTGTTTGTTTGACGGGTCCCATTATACTCGGATCTCACCTTTCGGCCACGACCAGGAAAACAAACAGGAGCTTGTCTGCTTGTGCGTAAAAATCCAATGGCCACCGACGTAATTTTATACACCCTGAGGGTCAAACTCCGAAACCCCAAGAAAATATCTTCCCCTCCCTCTAAAGTCCGAACGTCTGGAAGTTTCTGTCTGCGTCAGATTCTCTCTTGCTATCTTGCGCCAGATATTTTCAGCCCAACATTACCCCTCTCCTTACAAATTTGCAAGTTCTCCAATTCCGCTACGTGCATTGCTTTGCTTTCGTGTCAAATTTTTTTGCTAAAATCTATGAATGCTTGAGCAAGCACAATCCATTGCTGATTGTCCGTATTCGGCAGCCTTTGATTATAAATCGTGGCACTGTTTTCTCAAATTCACTAAGTGAAACTTGAGATTTTGGATTCCTAGTAGAAGAATTCGGTATGGATCGAGAAGGAGGTTCCAAAGGATCGTGCTATTACTCTGTGCTTGGAATCCGCAGGGATGCCTCCTTCTCTGACATTCGCTCTGCTTATCACAAGCTCGCCCTGGTAATTCCACCTTCCATAAGCCTTCGTTTTCCAATTAATTTATTATTTTGCCGTTGTGAATGAATTATGAATATGAACATTTTTCTGATTTTTTGTTTTTAAAGAAATGGCATCCAGATAGGTGTTCGAAAAACTCTTCGGACGTCGGAGAATACAAACGCCGGTTCCAGAAAATCCAAGAAGCCTATTCAGGTTGATACAGAAAAAAAAAGGAACAAGTGAATTTCTGTCATTCATTTCGACAAATTCTTGTGCAGAATGGCCTAATGGGTAAACGTGGTATAATCTGTTAATAATGCAGAAAATTGTGATGTTAACTTCTTGTGATTTTTTTCATGTTGAATATTTCCGTTGCTGCGGTGGCGGCTGGTGGCAGTGCTGTCTGATCAGGGGAAGAGATCAATGTACGACGCCGGATTCCTCGATCTGTTTGAGGAGGATGAGGTACGCAGTATAAATATCTTAGATATTTTCGCCCGTCTTTCATTCTTCCCATGTAGTTAAGCATGGCTGAAGACAATCACTGAACATGCGACGCCGTTTTATACTTCCTAGTTCCTCTTTTCTTTGTTTTAAAGCATTAACATTTCAGAACAAGTTCATTGTGCTTTCTGCATATAAGATTGTACCTCTAATTTTTTTTATAGACAAATGAGGACAAGGTTTCAACAAAAAATCACATCGGTACCAAGTAAAAATAAAAAAATCTACATGGGACCTCGGAGTCTTGTTGTCCCTCGTTTATTAAAAAATTGTATGTGACAAAAGATATTTTATTAGCCCACTTTATTTTTTTAATATTTTTTTTTAGTCCAAACTCCGACTCTGATTAAGCCCGTGTTTGATGGTCATTATTTTGATAAAATAGAGTTTGGAAAAGTGCTTTTACGGAGAATGTGTGGTTTAAAAGTAGGTAAAAATTCTGAATTTACGTGCAAAAATATTTTTATTGTGTAAATGTCTGGTTGTAAATGAGTACGTGAATTAAAGAGTTAAAATAATAATTGTCAAACATGGCCTTGAATCTCTATCTAACAATGGAATGTGATGCAGGGCATGGGTGATTTTCTGCATGATCTGATGAATATGATGGAGGAAAATGTTGTTGCTGAGGTTTGGAATTTCTTACATTTTCAAGGGTCGAAATTCTAAGTTTCAATGAGTTTTGTTCTAATTTGTAAATTATATTTTTGAAGGAGGAGAGTCTGGAGGATCTGCAGAAGACATTTGTCGATTTGTTCGGTGAGGATTTGGTCAACATGATGCAGGAGACTGATGATGATCGAACGGTGAGAAAGAGGACACGTGATCATGGAAACAATAAAAGGGTTAAACCAAAACGTAGTACCAATGTTTAGACTTTATGCCCCATCCTACCCTTAATGTGTACTTAATTACCAATCAAACGTGTTCATTTGGATGAGGGTAGATTAGGTAAGTTAAAAAGTACTGTCTTTTAGATTTTTTTAGTGCGTACTGTTTGATGGGTGCCAAGACTTTGGTTGCGTAATAAAGTTACTTTCCTTTGGCTATTTAATTACGTTTCTTTGAAGCAAATTATTGTTGGTTAAATAAGACAATTAATATTAATTAGTTTTGTGAATTCAAGCAAGTAATAAATGCTAAGTATGTAGCTTTTGTTTGAAAGTGTTCAGATTCCCTCACTTATATTATTAACTTTTTAATCATACTTTTATCGCCAATCATCGATTTACTCGCAACATCTTATCTCAACTATGATCTCCTCAAAAATCTCGATTATGATGACATAAAAAAGACTTATGTTGTTCATTTATAAATAAGCGAAATAAATAATATAAAAGTTCGACAAAATATTTGTTCTTTATTTTAAAGTAATATTTGGACTAGGGATGTTTAAAAGTCCCGAATTGGACCGACCTGAATCGAACCGAACCGAACCGAACCGAATCGAGCGGTTCTTCATAAATTAAATATCCGAACGGGTACCCGAATCAAGAATCGATGGGTTTGGGTCGGGTCTCGAGTCTAGATCAAGAACCCAAGAATCGAATAAGAATCGAAATTAAATAATTTTTTTATTTTTTATATTGAATTAATTAAATTATTTTATTTTTTTAAAACAAATTAGCAAATTAATTAAATAAATCAGATTATTTCATAATTTTAATTTTAAAGCCCAAATCATTTTTAAAA